ATAAATACAAATAATATTTTTAAATTTTAAATTTAAGAAAAATATTAAAAATAATAGATAGTGTTATAGGAATAACTTTTTTATATCACTTTTTTATACAATTTTTATATGTCATTAAATGAGTGGATACATTCAATATTATGGATCTCATATGAATTAAAAAAATCAATTATTTAAATAACATATCAGATTGTATCAAAAAATGATAAAAAAATATAGTACCAAGATCATTTCTTAAAAATAATAATTAGTTTAAAATAAAAAAATAAAAATTAGAGTATATAAAAAATTATATTATCTCCTTATTAGCGTTCAAATAATTTGAAAAAAAATGTGCTTAGATGGGAGGCATTACTATAGCAACACGGGTTTTTATTAGGGCCACAAGAATTATAATTATGTTTAGTTAATTGTCAATAATAATTAATAATTATAACAGTAAATTCATAGTCTATTAAAATTATTTTTTATTATTTAATAATTTAAAATTAACTTATATAATTGTATTTTTAAAAATCTTAATTAATTATAAATTGATAAAATTAATTAAATTAAATAAATTTATTATATATTTATATAACTTGAAAGCAAAAAACGCATTGTGACCATAACCATGACTTGAATAAAAAATAATAGAATAAAGAATTAATCCCACCAATTCCTATCCTCTGCGTGATTCAGATAAAAAATACATAATAGTTACTTTCTTCTATTGCAAGAACATATGTTTGATTTGCGAGTTTGATTTTTTGGACTCCTTTGGCCTCTCTTGCCATTCTTGCCAACCACAATATCCTCGTGAGAATTATTGGTAGGAGATAAAAAAAAATGCCCTCATATGATCATATCCCATCTCCATGGAGAATGAGAGTCCTACAAGGATACTAAATTTTAATAAAATAATAATAAACATTTATCAATAACATAAACAAATGATTATTTTAAAATTGATTACGTAATTGAAAAAATTCACAATATGTTAAAATCTAAATATAAAATAAATTTAAAATAAAAATTTAACTAATAAGAATAGGTTAATGTTTATCTGCTTACCTCTTAAAGATTAGTAGAAATATTATTTTAAAATTATATTGATTTAATAAAACACCATAAAAATTGATTACACATACTCTAATTTATACTTTAAAAATATGATATTTTAGTTTTTTTTTTTAATAAGAGTATTGAAATAGCTAGTTTTAAGATAATTTTTATCTTAATTTTTAAAAGATAAGGTAGATAAATAATATTTTTATAAAAAAAAAAGGTGATAATAGACGCTATATAAGTGGGTCAATGACTTAAATGAATAATTAATTAAGTGGGTTAATGACTTAAATGAATAATTAATTAAGTTGGGTTGAAGTGGGTTTATTGTGAGAAATTGGGATCCGTGGTCCAATGAAACAAAATAATTTCTTATAATTTTTTTAAGGAAAATTTATTTTAAAATTTATTTTTTTATTTATAAGACTCGAATTTGATACTTTTATTAAAGAGAACCAAACCCTTTTCATTAGAAATAACATATTATTAATATAATTTCTCATAATATTTTATAAAAAAAAATTGTCTCAATTTCTATAAAAAAAAATTATTCTTTAAATCTCTATTCTCCGAATTGAAATTCCTATGAGCTCCATAGGTTGCAGAATAAATTACCAACCCTATGATAGTTTGTCATGCTTGGATTACAAAACCTTAGTCTCATAATTAGTGAGGGTCTTATGGGACTAGCAATAGACCAAACTAATCACCGGCTGAGATGTTTGTGGTCCCTTCGAACACAAAAATTAGTAGAGTTCCAACCACAGGAGGTCAAAAACTGGGATGAGAACCAGTATTTTCCGTTGAAATCTAGGTTCTCCCAAGAAACACACAGAGTTGGAAATTCTTAATGTTGCTGCGTTTCCTTTGTTCTTGCTTTTGTAAAATTTTTCTTGAATATTTTCGGTCGATTTAATTCCAACGTTAGAATTTTCTTAAGTTTAGTTGTTTGTGGGCTTAAAGGGTATAGACTAGGCTTTTGGGTGGTTTCGGTTCATGGGCCAAGTCTGGGGGTAAGCAAGTTCAGGTGCGCCAAATGTTTTATGGATTAGGACGTGGGTTTTATTCATATTTATTGAGTTTAAGAGGTGAATTTAGGAGCGAAGATTCATAGAATAATTGATTAAATTATTAATAAAAAAATATTTCTCTACTTGTATGGTTAAGATTCGAACCCTCATTCTTTTTTTCCAATCCTCTTCCTTTGAAGGTTTTAGCCAGTTGGCTATCCCATAAAAAAAATACAGAGAGGTGAATTTAGTAAGCCTATTATATTCTAGGTACCGGAAGGCCTTCGATGGGTTTGGCATATTGGACTTCAATATTAATGTGAGCTTCTTCTTCTCCTTTTTCTTCCCTTTTTTTTTTCCTGATGAACTAACTATCATTTACACAAGCTTATCCCCTAGTTATGAAAATTTTAAAATAGGTTTTTAATGAGTCTAATAACAATCTTATGCCATAATTATGTTGTTTGTGCTTCAGTTTCTAATTAAGGTGGTATATTTGGTCTAAAATCAAAATTTACTTTAAAATAAATTTTGTTGTAATCCTGTTTTAATTATTATAGAAACAGTGCTGTGCCTACCCCCTTTTTGTGATGCCTAACGTATTCATCACGTATAACTAGCCTCAACTCCAGCAAGGGCGAAGAGCCGCAGATGAAGGGGCAAGTACATTTGTCAAGGAAAAAAAAATTTTTTTTTAAGCTTAGTATCCTACTGAAAAATAACTTTTTTTCATTTGAGGTTAAATCCTTAATTTGACCCCTCAAACTATTGTATTGACCTTTAATTTGGTCTCTTAATGAAAAAAATCTTTAATTTGATTTTTGTTATTTATTAGTTTGGCTTAAAGTTAGTTCTTCCGTACAAAAGTAAATGATGTATTTTATTATTAATGTGATACGTGACAATTAAATAATAATTTTTTATCATTAAATAATAGATATGTCAGCTATTTTTTAATAGAAAGATTAACTTACAATCAAATTGGTAAACAATAAGAACGAAATCAAGAGTATGTATAATAGTTGAGGAACAAAATTGAAGATTTTTTAGTTTAAGGACCCAATCAGAGATCCATACAATAGTTGAGGAGTCAAATTGGGAGTTTAACATTTATTTAATAATTTATCTCATAAAATATTTAAAAAACCAAAAAAATACCTTTTTTTTAGCAAGTACATTTGCCAAAGTGCTAGCACCAACAATTTTGGGGTTTTTTTTTTTATTTGGTAGGAGGAGGATATATATATTTTGGTAAAGCGCCTGTTAACTGGGCAGCCAAAATTGAATCTGTTTAAATTGGTTAATTTTATTAATTAGTATATAATTAATTAGGATATTTAAAAATATTAGTATATATATTGATTTTAAAGTATTAATTAATAGGTATGAATTATTTTATTAATTATTAATTATGTTTGATAGTCAAATTAAATCCACAAATAATTTTTTGGTATAAACTTAATAGAGTTAATCTACTATGTACTCTTGAGGCATAAGATAAAGAGTATTAATTATATAATGATTATAACTTTTTATCTTAAAAATGATAAAATTAATTTTTTATTTTTGTTATAAATGTCGTGTATTAAATTTTGATTGATTAATTTTAAATTAAAAATTAAAAGTTATTTATTTAATATAAAATTTTGTTTTTTCAAAAAAATTATAATTATTACTTAATAATAGTTTATTATCTTGTACCCTGAGATTCTTTTATGCAATAATAATCACGCCCGCTTTGTACTGCCCCTGCTACATATTAAATGTCGTTATACATGTTATTAATGAGTTTGGATCAAGTTGGACATATTGCTTCGAAAATAAATTTGTGGGAAACCATTGTCCATATACGATGAACAAAAATATATAGATAATGTTTTTTTATATAATAAAATTTTATAATAATTTTATAGATTCGATTCATTACTAAATTTTAACTTAATTCATGTTGAATTTCAAAATTTTATATTAATATTTTAAAAAAATATTTTTTAATACATATAAAATTGTAAATAACTTAAGCCATCTATTAAAATGTTCAAACTCAAACTTATCTTTACATTAACAAGACTGAGTCAAATTAAAATCTTAATAAATTAAAAGAAGTAGAGTTTAACGCACGAGTGAGTGGATGAATTTGTAGGAAATTCTTTCAATTTAACTAGAAGTTTTGATTTCAAATTCTGATAATGTAATTCTGTTAAAACTCGTGAGAGAAAGTTTTATCGTCTGTTGAGTTTTGCATGACTCATATTTAAATTAGTTTGTGACCCAATGAGTTTTTGGACATCAATTGGTCTATAAATAAAAAAAAAAAGAGAGTAAAGTTTAAACTCCATGTTTTTATTAAATAAGACAAAGTTAAATTGAATGTAGATCCAGTAGTTTACCAACTACTTGGGATATTTATAATTTTAAATAATTTTATTATATTATATAATTTTATTAATTTTTGGAGTGATTTTTTCTAGAATGTTAAAAAAGAAACACTGACAAAAAGAAATAAAAAAAATTAAGTAGAATGCAAAAGGGGATGGAAAATACGTGGAAAGGGGAAGAGCTAGGGTGTGTCTGCAACTTGCACTCTACTCCTCCATTGATGGGGACAACCGGGACAAAGGCGGGGGCGGTTGTGTCATCCAATACGCAATTTGCTGCTTGCTTCACTCATGAGTGACGTCATCTACTACTTCACGGAACGGTGGGGCACGATTTGGAGGTATCATATGAGTAAAGTTTACTTCTATTTCGTGGTCAAAAAGTAGCCGACCAAGACCTGAATAAATTTAAAAGGCAGAAAAATGTAAAATTTTCATTAAGATTTTGTTTGTTTGACAATATTTATTGGTTTTTTATTTCCTAATTTTTTAATTTTTATTATTTTAAAAATATATAAAATATTAATTAAAATAAATATTAAATATATAAAATATATTTTACATTTTTTAAAATATTAAAAAACTCAAAAACTTATAATTATAGTTACATATCAATGTTTTCAAAATAAATTTATATAAAAAATGATTGAGAAATAATTTTTTATATAATTTTTTATTATATCATTTAATAATTATTTTTTATTTATTTAAGACTCATATATATTTATTCATTTAATAATATGTACTCTTTTTATTTTAAAATAATTATCATTTTTTATTTTAATTTTGTCTTAAATTAATTATTATTTTTTTATTTTTCAAGTTAGTTAAATAGTTTTTTTACTTTAACCTTATTCTTATCTATTCACTTTAATTAATCATTTAGTTATAATTTTTTTTATCTTTTATTTTCTCCTTTAAGGTTATTATAGATAAATACAAATATTGTTTCTAAATTTTAAATTTAAGAAAAAAATTAAAAATCAATAATTATTTAGTTATTTTAAATTAAAGAGAGTAAAAATTAGAGTATATAAAAAATTATCTTCGTCTCATTAACCTTCAAATAATTTGTAGAAAACTTGCTTAGAGTGAAGGCATGATTATAGCCACACCAGTTTTTATTAAGGTCACACAAAAATTATAAGTATGTTTAGTTTAATTTTTAATAACAATTACTAATTATAACAGTTAATTCATAGTCTATTAAATATTTATTTTTTATTATTTAATAATTTAAAATTAACTTATATAATTATATTTCTAAAAATTTTAATCAATTATAAATTGGTAAAATTAATTAAATTACATAAATTCATTATATTTATAACTTTAAAGTAAAAAACGCTTTGTGACCATAACCGAGATTTCAATAAAAAAATCGTAAAATAAAAAATTAATCCCGCAATTCCTATTCCCTGTGTGATTCAGATAAAAAATACATAATAATTACTTTCTTTTATTGCAAGAAAATATATTTTATTTGCAGCGTTCATTTGGACCCTTTGGCCTCTCTTGCCATTCTTGCCCACGACAATATCCTCGTGAGAATTTTTGGCAGGGGATAAAGAAAATGCCCTCGTATCCCATATCCTTGGAGAATGAGAGTCCCAAAGGGGTACTAAAACAATAATTTTTAAAAAAATATATATATCAATTTTAATTTTTAAAATAAATTAGAGTATTAATTTTAAATTATTTTATTTTATTTAATTAACATTTAGTTTAAAATTTAAATTTTTTTATTAAATGTTATATTTATTTTTGAAATTGATTATATCAAAATATATAATCAATTTCTAAATTTATATATTAACATATAATATAATGAATTTTTGAATTTTAAATTGAGATTCTGATATGGACAATGATTAATATATATTTGATTTAACAAATTGTATAATATATTCATTAAAAAATTATTATTTCTTGATTTGAAATTAAAAATAGATAAATTTAAAAATATAATTATGCACACAGGATGTAGAAACTAATTAAATAAATTATATTATATTATATTTTCAATGGTTAAACTGGAAGTGTGTCAAAAAATGTGTCAGAAAATGTGTTGAATCGAGTATATACCAATCATTTTCTTTTTAATTTTCAAATATAAATTGAAATTTTATTTTTTTTTTCAAAATTAAAACTGATATACACTAATCTCATA